GAAGGCAAAAGGGCACGCAGAGGAGCAGTGGACGGACGCAGAGACATCCGGTGCGTGCCAGGGACAGGAGGAGGACGCGGACGCGAACCATGACCACCAGCGCGGGCAGCACGAACAGGCGACGCGGGACGAGACGCAGGCTCACGACGCTCAGCAAGACCTCCAGTAGGACCAGTGTAAGGAGAGGGAGCAGGCAGTGGGGAGGTAGGCTCCAACAGTGACTGCGACTGGACAGGCTGTGGACACTCTACCGGAGGAGAAAGACCAAGAACCTGCTGCAGAAGCGGAACGAAGTACGGCCGAGGCCGCGCGGCAGCTCCAGACTCAGCAGGGACAGCACCAGCACCCTCAGCGGCAGCACCAGCGCCACCAACATCTCCAGCGGCAGGACCTCCAGCAGCACCAGCAGCAGAACCACCGGCAGGACAGACAGCAGCAGACTCAGCACCAACGCCCTCGGCAGCCCCAGCTCCAGTAGGACCCGCAGGCGTAGCACCTCCGGGACCGGCGGCACCAGTACCCTCGACGGTCGAAGAAGCTCCAGCTCCAGCAGTACGCCTCCAGCGGCGAGCAAACCACTCGCGCAGCTCCTGCGGAGAGAGGGGCTCCCGCCGAGGCGCAGCACCAGGAGAAACCCCAGGCTCAGCGGCTCCAGACGTAGCACCCCCAGGCTCAGCACCTCCAGACTCAGCACCCCCAGGCTCAGCAGCTCCAGACTCAGCACCCCCAGGCTCAGCAGCTCCAGCTCCAGTAGGACCCGCAGGCCCAGCAGCTCCGGGACCGGCAGCACCAGCACCCTCAGCAGTCGAAGGAGCTCCAGCTCCAGCAGCACGCCTCCAGCGGCGAGCAAACCACTCGCGCAGCTCCTGTGGAGAGAGCGGCTCCCGCCGAGACGGAGCAACCGGAGAGCCCCCAGGTCCAGCAGTCGCAGGCTCTGCACCTCCAGGCTCAGCACCCCCAGGCTCAGCAGCTCCTGACATAGCACCTCCCGGCTCAGCACCCCCAGCAGCAGCACCCCCAAGCTCAGCACCCCCCGGCCTCGCACCCCCAGGCTCAGCACCCCCAGCAGCAGCACCCCCAAGCTCAGCACCCGCAGGCGTAGCACCCCCAGACTCTGCACCCGCAGCAGGACCAGACTCAGCAGCAACCTCGACTGGCTCGACTGTGTCTACCTGGGACACACCTGAAGGGGCAGGAACCTGAGGGGGGAGGGGGTCTACCGGGGGGGGAACTGGCACCAGGAAGTCCGGTGGGGGGGGGAGGGAAGGAGTACGGTAGGGGAAGAGGCGGTAGAAGGGGACTGACTCGTCGAACGTGACGTCCTGGGAGGACAGAACACGACGAGAGGAGGGGTGGTAGAACTGCCACCCTGGAGCGTCAGGGGGGAAGCCAAGGAAGACACAGGGAGCAGCACGGGGGGACAGCTTGTCCGCAGACAAGTCGCGGACAAACGCCCGAGATCCCCAAACACGGAACGCAGACGCATCGCCGACCTTCCCCGTCCACAGTAACACTGGGGACATCGCGGGCCGAGAGACCCTGGGGTGAAGGTTGAGCTGATGCGCCGCGTACCGAACCGCAAACGGCCACAGAAAATGGGGGGCAGCCGCATGCATCATGGACGTACGAGCGACATCCATGACCATGCCAATGCGGCGCTCAGCAATCCCATTTTGCTGTGGAGAGTCCGGAAGCGTAAAGGTCTGGCGGATCCCCTGTGCACGACAGTAGTCTCGCAAAAGGCGAGAGGAGAACTCCCCACCTCGGTCAGAGTGCAGACGCAGAACAGGAAAGTCCGAGCCGAAGCTCCTCCTGAGCTGGAGACGAGCCTCGCGGATCCAGTCGATCAGCACCTCAGTGACAGCACCCTTGCTGCGCAAGGGGAAGACTGTGGTGTAACGCGAGTAGTCGTCAACCACCAACAGGAAGTAGCGCTCGTGACCCTGCCCACGGACGGGGGCCGGGCCCCACACGTCCATGTGAAGTGTCTGCAGAGGAGCCTCTGTCGGGGGAAACTGGGAGGAGTGAGGAGCAGCCCTGAGGCGCCCCTCGACACAGGGGACACAGGAAGGTCCTGGTCCCGAAGGAAGGGGAGGGAGAGACTGGGGAAGACCAGAGACAAGGACACGGGAAGCCATGCCCCGAAGACGGGGCAAGGAGGGGTGGCCGAGACGGTGGTGCCACAGGAGAGTCTCGTGAGACAGGAGGCGACACGAACAGGGGGCAGACTCAGGACCAGACCTGGACGCAGCAGCAAACACCTGACCTGACGCAGCTACCTGACCGGACGCAGGGACAGGAGGAGACTCAGTGGTCAGGGTGTAGAGGCTCGACCCCGGCCGACGCGAGAACGTGGCCAGGTGCCGGCCTGTGCGTGCGTCCGTGCAGTGGGTCACCCGCTGACTCGCAGGAGTGAACTGGTGAACCCCCGCATCCTGCAGGTCTGCACCACTCACCAAGTTCGTCGAGAACGACGGGAGGTAAAGACCAAACAGGGTGCCAGAGGGGGCCGCCGGACACGGGAGGACAGTGGAAAAGTGAGCGAGGACAGGACCCCCAGAGGGGTCAGCCAGGGAGACTGCAACAGGCCGACCAAGCGGCGTGAGTGTGGTGCGGTCCCGAAAGAAGGAGCGAGAAGCCCCAGAGTCAAGTGTAAAGGTGAGGGAGGCCGAAGCCAACGTGGTACCTGAGAGCGCAGCCTCACCCGCACCTGAGGAAGCAGACTCACTAGCACCTAGAGCAGCAGCCGCACCTGTACCTGGAGCAGGAGACTCACTAGCACCCAGAGCAGCAGCAGCCTCACCAGTAGCTAGAGTAGCAGGTCCTATACCCGGGTCAGGCGGTACGCATAGGTGACCGGCACGGTCAGCACTAGTAGGCAATGCATACATGGCAGTGAGAATAGCATCGTAGTCAAGAGCAAATATATCTACCCTCTGCCTAAGCAACTCCACCCAGTCGGGGAGCTCAGCCTCGTCGCCAAACACGGTACGCCAGGCGTCGCTCAGACGGGCGAAGCAGCGGGACTGTGTATGACCAGGTGTCCCACAAGGCTGACCAGTCCGAGCACCAGTGAGAATCACGTAAGAGCAGCGAACAGAACTGAGAGACCCTCTACTCTGAGCGTACCACTCACGAAGCTGCTGAGGCGTGAGAGACACGCGGGGGGGGTCGCGGGAGCTGCATCTGGCCGCCACCAGTAGTAGAAGCAGCAGGAGTGGTAGTAGTAGTAGCGCCACCACCCCTACAGCCCCAACCAGCGTACCACTCACGCAGCTGCTGGGGCGTGAGGGACTTACGCAGACGTCGATGGGGCTGCATCTGGCTCCACCAGTAGAGGCAGGAGCAGGAGTAGCAGCAGTAAGGCAGGCAGCCAGGCAAGCCAAAAAGGGAGGCAGGCAGGCAAGCAGGCGACGCGCAGCGTGCTAGCAGGGCAGGGGCTCACCAGTGGTGGGTAGAGTAGGCTCGGCGACTCAGTGGCTCGGCAGCACGGCGGCTCTGCGGCTCGGGCGACTCGGGCGGCTCGGCGGCAGAGCGGCTCGGCAGCAACTGCAGCTCGGCAGCTCGGCGACCCGGCGGCGCGGCTGTAGGGCGGCTCGGCTGCTGGGAGGCTCAGGTGTAGAGCGGCTCGGCGGCGAGGCGACGGGAGAAAGGGGGGGGGGGGGTGGGGGGGGAGGCGGCTCGGGCGGCTCGGGCGGCTCAGGCGGCTCGGGCAGCTCGGGCAGTCAGCGGCACAGGCGGCTCGGGCGGCTCGGCTCCTCAGCTGCGCAGACGGCTCGGGCGGCTCAGGCTGCACGGCGGCTAACGGGCGGCGTGGGGGGGGCCGGGACGGCGGCGTGCAGCAGGGACGGGCGGCGCACGGGCGGTGTGAGGCCGGGACGGGTGGCGCGCGGGCGGCTAGGGGCCTGAACGGGCGGCGCGCGAGCGGCTAGGGGCCGGGACGGGCGGCGCGCGGGCGGCTAGGGGCCTGAACGGGCGGCGCGCGAGCGGCTAGGGGCCGGAACAGGCGCGCGCGGGCGGCTAGGGGGCCGCAGGGCAGGCCGAAAGAGTGAGAGCGAGGGCCCGGAGCGCGCTCCGGGCAGAAAAAAAAGTTTAAAAGTGGTGGGCCCTAAGCACAGTTCCCACGGGGGAACCTGCTCGATACCATGTGGAGAATAGAACGAGAATGAATGAACTATGAGTGAAGTGAGTACAAATAGCAAAACCCTAATTGGGTTGTACCCCCTATGGGATACCCCACTGTAGCCTACACAACAGCATAAGCTACATATATGTTCTGACAGCCATTCCCCCTGCTGTTGGACGATCTACGACTAGGAGAACAAATAATAAAAAGCTAAGAGAATGCTACTAAGAGCATTGAGAGAAATGACTACAGAACGCTACTACTAGTGAGACCATCCAGTGAGAGGGACGCTGGGAGAAGAAGAGCAGTCGAGAGAAAGAGGAGTCAAGGAGGAGGTAACAAGGCGACTGAAAAGTCCGATCTCAGTGAAGCAACAAGCACCCGCTACGAGCTAAAGATATAAGCCAAAGGCGCTAGGTGAGAGAAAAAACGCAGTCTATGCACTCGTCTCTGCAGTCGTCTCTCGACCTGTCTGAGGGACTAGAAACGTAAAAACGTGTGTTGCAGGACAATTTCGCGACCGCTCGACGGTGATGTCCGACCGAGCCACCTCGCGCGCACGCACGTTCGCTCCGCGCAGCGACCGGTGTGACATGACATCGCATGCTGCAAACTAAACTGACATCAAACGCGATATTCGCAAATGAGAAAAAGCGCGGGACGGCTAAGAGAAAGCGCTGCGCAGGGTGCAGCGCGAGGCCAGCAGGACGACGACTATCTAACGACAGCGAGGCGCACGAACGAACACGCGACTGGGACCTTAGCGAATGACACAGCGGCGGATTAGGTGGATGCGAGTGTAATTCTAGCTGCATAGTAGGTATGAGGGAACAAGGTTCGAGTAGACCTGAAGTTGGGCTGAGGCAACAGCGGG